AAATATAAAGGCAGGAGGGCTGATCCATCGTGGTTAGATGATAAGTCTAGGTTTGGGGTCATTACATTTTTGTCCCGAAAACTTTACTTTGGATGCTAAATATATAGATCCAGTGTTTCGGAATTGAAAAAACGTAGACAATTTGGGATGCTTTGATGTTTGCCACTTTCTGGTATTTCCTGAGCTGTCGCTGGATGTCCTAGGTTCCTGACTACCCATAGGTTCCTGCTTGCATAAGATCGCACTAAAAAGATGCTTAGAAAGAAGTAAAGACTTATGAAATGGATTGTTTGACATGATGCTCTTACAGGAATTAAGTGAAGCTAACTTTGATCTTGTCTCTCTTACTTGAAAATGTGATATCTGGGTTGTTTAATGTCTGCATTGACCTGCTAGCAGGAAAAAAATAAATAATTTGAGCTGTAATTAGGTTGGGAATAATAATGACTCAGGGAGTCTGCGAGATTAACTAGTTTTGGCCAAAAGCTTTAACTAAAAGTTAGAAGGCTCAATTCCAAGTGCTTTTTAAATTAAAATTAGTTAAATTTAAAAGTCATCATATTCTCAGATCAACAAATTAGCAGGCTTTCTTCTTTCATTTTAAAAAGCTATATAAATTAAAATGGGTCCCTTCTCTTTTCTGGTATTCGCAAGGGGTTCATTCATGGCCGCCTTTGACGCCCACAGTCGTGCTCCGTCGCTTCCTCCCTGGAGCACTCAGAAGAGCAGGGGTGGGGAAACTAGCCTGGCACTGGGGACACAGAAAACCAAACCCCAAAAGCTCCTAGTGCATATCCTCAGGCACACAACTGCTCTGTGTCTGTCCCCATCCAGCGTGGCTCATGTTGGAATGAACCGTCTCTTGTCTAATGAGCTTAAGAGAAGATTTTGTAATACATGGTGGGATTTATGGCAATGAAAGAATTAAGAATATGAGTATCAGAGAGCCCAAGGAACTGTCATGACTCTACTGGGAAGAACACAGCAGCATAAGAAAGGAGAAATAAGATGTGGGGCTGATTTTTTCTGAGATTGGAAAACATTCCACCAATGCCGGATATTATAGCAGAGACAGATGGCATGGCAGATGCTGTGAAAGAAAAATGACTTACTACTAGGTGAACCAGAAAAAATAAACAAGAAGGACAGAGGAAAAAGTACACAAGTTCCCCTCTGTTGTCAGGAACGTCTTCCGGTAGCTGTGAAACAGCTCATTGTATTCCACGGGGCTGCAGATTGCAAACGAAGTCTCTCCCCATTTCTCCACTGACTCACATTTAGAATTAGTAGCCATTCTTTTGAGAGGACTCACTTTTTGTCTATTGGTTTTCTAAGGAAGAAAGGAAGGTAACAATTAATGGGATATACGATGCCAATATTGTATGAAGAAGATGCTACTGCTAATCTTTTTCTGGCTCAACTGGTTGCTATATGATATGTAGAAACTAGATGAAACTCATCTTGGTTTATTTTAGAAATGTTCCCAATTAACATCCTTTCATAGTGCAAATCAAATAAATGGAGTTGGCATTTTAATAAACTTAAATCCAAGTTGTTTAAAATGTGTTTTAGAAACTGGGACAGGGCTCTCTCATTAGGTCTCCAGGATTTAAAATAGATGCCTCAGCAAAATGATAAGTTTGCATGTGTTGTGGCTCCATGGAATTGACAGAAAATGGTTGAAACCAATAAAAATGATCTACAGATGCTAAGGGTCTATTATGAGATACCCAGGCACACACATCCAGCACAGTGCCAGCACATGTAGATTTAATATATGCAAATTCAGCAGTGTGCACTTGGCAACCCGATTGCATCACTTATATCAGACAGAAATGGATGCAATTGAGCCTAAAATTGCTACCGTTGAGTTACTGAAATAAGAAAAGTAAGTGCATGATGTTAAACATTTTCTGGCCGTTACAAAAAAAAAAAAGAAAAGAAAAGAGTGGCTAGGCAAGTATCTAGTGATGGTTTGTCACTATATTTGGAGAAGAAACTGAAGAATTAATTAAAAACTATAGAGTAACATTGATTAACAAAGAATTACTGCAGGATTTTCAAGGGTAACTTCGATTATACATAACATTTATTTTCTGTGTTGTTTTTAGGAACACAATAGCCCTCCTAAGGTGGACCTCATTGTACATGTACAACTTTTACTCACACACACACACATGAATTAATAAATCATTGAAAAAATGAATGTTAATAACAAGATGGATTCCAGAAGCAGTTTTGTTGTTCATGCCGTTGAGTCAGCTCCAACTCCTAGCGACCCTGTGCACAGCGGAGGGGGGCCTGCCCGATCTTTCTGCACCCTCCTCTCACCTTCTCTGCACTACATCAGACAACGCTCCACTGCTGTTAACAGAGTTTTTATGGCCAATCTTTTAGGAAGCGGGTGGCCAGGCTCTTCTTCCTAGTCTGTCTCTGTCTGGAAGCTCTGCTGAAACCTGTCCACCATGGGTGACCCTGCTGGGATTTGAAACACGGGTGGTAGAGCTTTCAGCATCACGGCGACATGCGGCCACCACAGTGTGACAACCCACAGAGGGGTGGTGTGGTTCTCTGACGAGGAAACGAATCCGGGCTGTGGCAGAGAGCGCGCCGAAACTTAACCACTAGACCACCAGGGCTAGAAATAGCTTAGACACCATTTTTTCAACTTTTAGAGGAGCAAAATGCACCCAAGGCCACCTGGCAATCCCTGTCTAGTCTTTGTTTTCTTCTTCTTTCCTACTTCTTCTCTGTATTGCCCAGGTCAGTGCTTTCCACTGTTAGAGTAAAGAAGGAAAGACTTAATGTAGAGAATGAGTTTCCAGAGACTGGGATCAAACTGGCATTTCCGTCGGCCCACCTTGCAACAAACGAGTATACCAGGTTTGAGGACACACATTTTCTGGAAGCCAGGGAGAAGTCACAGAGAAACTATTTCAATCTGGAACAAGTCCCACGTGAGGAATTGCCTGTGGTATGTCCCTGATAAGTCCTCCCAGAGGAGTAGGCTGAGAGCCTGATGGGCTGGCTCAGGGTGGATCTCCCCTTGGAGGGGTGGGCGGAGCAGCCTGCCTTCCAGCCCAAGGTGGTTGATTGCCGCAGAGCTATAAAATGCTGGGTCCATCAGTGGCGCAAATCCCTCTTGTCTGACACCCTTCACTAGCCTTCTGAACTTGGACAGGGACTCGTGTGCTTTGTGGAATTCTCTATAGGAAGCTCAGGGAAAATGTAAATGCTCTGATTCCAGCAGAGGCAGGACAATACTACAGTTACAAATTCTATTGGGCAACGATCTTTTTTTTTTAAACACTTTGAAGCTCCTTTCTAATAAATTTCAACACATAATCAGTGTTTATACAACAGACACCGTTATCTTATCAGTATCATGTAGTTTGGCTGCTAACTGAGAATTTCCTCCTTCTACACATATATAATGCAAATTATAATGTTTTCTGTTTGAGAGACTCCTACATTATACGCCTAAAATTAAAGATAGGGGTAGGATGGGCAAAATGGGCAAAAATTTTTTTTAAAAAAAGACTGAGAAATGCCAGATGTCCTTCTATCCTGTACATGTGTAATTGCAAAGGGCACTTCCACAAGGAGGAAGACAGTCACCAGGCTCTGAAAATGGGAGGCAATTCCTGACATTCTCAGCCCCCCCGAACAGTGTGTCATTTGATGCTTCAGCCCACTGGATAGCTTTAGTGCTCTGTTTGATACGTTATTGAGAATAGTGCGACATCACTTTACCTTTGTAATAAGCACTTCTTACACTAATGAAATGATGATTTGCTTTATCAAATGTCTATTCTTTGATAAAAATATTCATGTTTATATCATTTCTATGGATAATTTCTTATTATGAATTTCCAACACTGATATTGTATTGCTTTATAATAATCTTGCTCAGAAGCAAGAAAGCAGACAACTCTAGGATAAAATTAGATATATAACATATATTTTATAGAAGAAGACAACTGTCATGGAAAATAATTTTTTTGGTCAGAAATGCAACCTACAGAAAAATTCACATTTACTTCAATCATTTATAGCTTCTATAACCCTATAGCAAGAATAAACCTTTATAGAATCTGATTTATTACAAGATCCTGAACTACCTTTGAATCAACAAGGAAATATCTACCTACAGTGTAATTTTATGTCAATTATTCTAATTCTTTGAAAATTTGTAAATCCATGTCATATCATAAGCCTTACATAACCAGAATAGTCTTTTTCCCTCTTTTTCCCACATATCTTCATTCTCATTCACCTCAGGTGATAATCCATATGATTGTAAACCTCAATTAGCTAGAACATTCTTTTTAATTTGTCCCCTCAAACTATCTTCTTTCCCAATCATTTTAGGTAGGTTTCATAAAATAAGAACAAATTGAAGAAAATCTGGTTTTAGGAACACTCTGAAAATTTCCATGGGACGTGCTTAATCTATTGTCTTCAAACAGTTCCAACAGAAAGGGGATGAGATGTTGCAGCTCCTTGAGAATCAAAAACCAGATTGCAACAAAAAGTCTCACTTTGAAGCAGTCGCTCCTGTAAAACCTCTGCTCATGGTACCGCTTAGCACTTGTTACCACCATTTGGAAACTAATCAGACCTGGAGTCATTATAAAATAGGAAGACCCTCGGAAGACTTACTCCAAAATAATGACGGCTGGATTATAAACTCCCCTTCCAATTAGTTTTATTGTTTTAGTTGATGAAATCACAGAAGTGAAATGAACCTAGAAAGAGCGAGCGCTGTAACCGGCAGGAGTGGGGTCCCAGTGCCTGCACCTGCTCAAAAGTTAATGGAGATGCAGGATGCAGAGCTTGGAGCATGAATACTGAGGCTGAAGGACACGGACTAGAACGCTTTTTATTTTTCATATTAAATAAAATCAGTCTGAGTATCTTTCATTTCCTATGGGGAGTGGAACAGGCTGTCGAGCTAGGATCAATAACTGCAGAGTCTTTTATTAAATTCCGTCACTCACCTTCCATGGGGGTGTTACTGTCCGGGCGGTTTGCAAAGACTACATCCACATACTCAAGCTGCAGCCTCTGGAGGGAGCCCTTCAGGCCTGGGGACAGAAGCAGGAAAAACCCAAAAAGTCCCAAAATGAGCACTATTAGAAATAGTTGATGTTTAGTTTCCTTCAAGAATCTACTTTCTGGAAGCGGTAATAGGGCACATATGTCTGGCGATGGGTGGTAATTAGTCTTGGGTGGTGAACATGATGCAGTCCACACAGAAACTGAAATATAAGGACGTACACCTGAAAATTATAGAATATTATAAGCCAATGTTACCTCAATACAAAATAAACGTTTTAAATATATAAATATTAATATCTTTAGAAAAAAAGAATTTACTTAAAAAAAAGCGCACTGGGTTAGTTTCAAAAAGACATTGAATATAGTGATGTATTAATTGGTCCCTAGGACCTTTTAAAAATATATCAAAGGATGACTTTGTCCCCAACAAAGAAAAATCTTAGGATTTTCTCAGTGATGTTAGTACTCTCACCCCGCTGGGAAATACACACTTAGTCCTGACTTTCATGGTGACTCCTGTGTGGCAGTATCCAGAAGCAAAGTTTAGAATAAAAAGCAGCCTGAGAGTTTAACTTCTTTCTTCTTGAAAGATGCAACTTAACGTCACGTTTGAATTACTTAACGGGCTTATATTGGGGTGGGCATATTTATTGCACATCAAAAACATGAAAATGGTGTAAATCAGAAACAGATGACTGCTGACCCTCCTTAACGTGCACAGGGGTTTTTAATAAGATTTAAAAGATTCATTAGTGAAGGTTTGCTCAACATTTTACTAATTGGAACAAAGTTTGAAGAACCTTAAATACACTGAGCTCTACCATTATTCTCCATTCTTTGGGGAAGAAACAAAAACACTAGAAGCCATAGAGACTTAAGAGGGTAATATAAAGGAGAGAGTGAGAGCTTACCAAAAATCTGGAACCCAAAATCTGTGTTTCCGCCCTAATCATTTGGTCACATTCCCATGAATACCCAGAAAAAATTATTTAAATTTCAGTAAAATTAATACTTCCCTGAAATAGAATGCATTGTGTATAATATTATGCAACCCAAAAGGATGAGAGTGCTCAAGCACCATTTTCTCTCATTTCCGTGAGGCGCAGTATTTCCTTATCAGCCTGTTTAACTCCTCAGGAAGACTGGAGGTTTTTCTCTTTTTACTATAGGCATAAAGTCAATTGCATGTTAAATGAGGCTCTTATAAATTTAAATTTGGCTCATTTAAATTTGATTTTTCAAGCTGGTTTATCGGCCAGCCACAATTACTTTTCTGACAGCAAATATTTTTCATTCGTTGAGAAGGAATTGTCCGTGACGGTAGCTTGTTCCAAGAAGCATTGATGAAGAGAGGAGGGCAGACAGGTGGCGTAAGCTCCACTGCCTGTCTTGAAGACCTGTGGTGACTCTCAGGCGGGGGGATTACCAACTATCTCAAGGGGCAGCTTGAAGTTAAATTGACCTTAAAAAGCACTATGATATGAGCCAGTGTTTGGAAGAATTGTCTGTAGGGAGGAGGTAAGGGGAGGACAAGGTAAGCAAGCACACAAATAACAGGGGAGCACGAGGTGTGAACGGTTGGAAATCTGTCCTCTAGCATGTGGTGTGCCCCCCCTGGGGTTATCTGACCGTAGTTCTCTAATCCGCAGTGGAGAGAACAGTACTTACTACCTTCAGAATCACTGTTCCAGAGGGCAAATGAAACCAGTTGTCAAGCACTTTGTAAGTACAGTAGTCTATAGAAATTTGGTAATTACAGCAGTGTATTCACATCTGGAAAGGCTCAGAATGAGAGGTGCCACAGACGAAACACCAAAGATTTTCACGGGACCTCCTGGTTTTGGAGGGAGGCATTTAATGACAGTTCTGGCCCATGTCTGGCACTGGAAACAAGTGTCCTCCTTTCTGATCATGAGCCCCCTACTCTGTGTCTCTTCTAAATAGCTCACAGGGCCTGAGAGTAACTAGGAGAAGAAGCTACACTCATGCAGCCCTGTCGTCATGCTGTGTGATCAGTCGCGACTAAAGTCATTTGCTCTTCCATGCCACGAGCAGGTGCTGATCCTGCAACTGCTGCGCCCTGGCGATATGAAGATGCATGGCCTCGGCATTTATCCCCAAGGAGCAAACAGTGCAGACTGAGAGCATCTATCGGCAAGGACTTGATGCAAATGTGGGTCTCATTGTATTCAGTCATTCCTCACCTCTCAATTCTTTCTCTCAAAAGCTTTTTCTCTGGATAATTTAGGCTGAGATTCAAGTTTATTCATGTGAGAATATAAGAAATGATGTGTGGTGTGACATCAGAGACCCACCTGGTCAACTCCAAATGAAGCGGAGTAGAAGGAGATTGTGCCCAGAGACACTATCCACTTACTTTGAAAATCTTCATCACATAAAGTCTTATAATCCATGGGATGAATTTTGGATTTTACTCTACGTGAGATGGGAAAACATTGCTGGGGGGCTAGGAGGTAATGAAATGGGAGTCATGCAGCGGAAATGATATTATCAGATTTCTATTTTGAATGGATCACTCTGCCTGTCGAGAACGACCTGTAGGGGCAGGAGTGAAAGCCGGGAGACCCCTGAGGAGCTTACCCCAGCAGATCAAGCTTGGACCAAGTTTGTGAGAACTGTTCAAATTTGGGACAGTTTGTGTAAGTAGAAACAAGAGGACTTGCTGGTGTGTGGCATATAGAGTGTGGAGGTAGAGGAATAAAGGATGACTCAGAGTTTTGGCCTGAGAAGTGAAGTGACTGTTAGTAAGACGGGAAGTCAAGGGAAAAGCAGATTGGTGGTGGTGGTGGTAGTGATGTTGGTGGTGGTGGGAGCCATGATGAGTCTGAATGGCACATCAGTCAACCACAAGGAGCTCTTGGCAGCTGGGTGGACCAGCCTGGTATTTAGAGGAGAGGTCCACACACAGGGTTTGGGATATAGGGCGCTCATTTTGGCTGGCCTGAATGACCTTTCCCATGTCTCTTAGCCTCTTTAGGCCTTAGTTTGCTCATCTGTCCAAAGACAAAATGGAGCTAGATAATTATTCTGCTTTGATCTTTCATGTGACTGCAAGCCAAGTCAGATAGTCCTGTCTTTCCCTATTTGGATGCTTTAATCTTGTAGAAATAGCCACATCATAGCGACATAAAGACGCATTCAAGGAATGTCTCCTTGACAGCCATTTAGGGTTTATCTCCAATAATCTAATAGTCATGTTCTATCTCCACTTAGCAAACGTTTGTTGAACACTGGCTTGGGGCCGAGTATTGTTTTAAGTTTAAATTGATGTGCAAAAATGCATTAACCTTGGCTCCAGAGGGGCATCCGTCAGCTAGTCACACCTAAGGAGGTGAGCGCTCCAGTGCAGTGAGCGCACTGCTTTTGACTTTAGCCTGTCCCTCTGCGCTAACCTGAGTCTGAGGGAGTGAATGCGGAAGCAGGAGAATGCTCCCTGCCCCTGAGGAGCTGTCCAGAATTTAGCTGCAATTCCTCAAAAGTCCACGGATAATAAATCATATTGTGTAATGAAAATAGCTTTCCAGTGCCTACAGTAAAAAAGAGATCTAAGTTGATTTTCCTTTTAGGTTCTGAAGTTTAATAGGAACTGTACTGTTCATAAGGTGAACCTTAATTCGGTTTAAGCCATCTGAAGGCATCACAGGGGTCTAAGGAGTGTGCCCGCGTTGGGCGTTAGGCAGCCTGGCGGGGCTGGGGGTGGGCCAGGTGTTGAGCGCGCAGGTGTGACTGTGTACAAAGGGAGCGCAGTAGTTTGGAGATTCTGCAGGTGTTCTAGTCACACACGCCGTGCCACCGTCTTTCACACCTGCCGCACGTTTGCTGTCCTATCTAGCCTGAAAAAAATGCTGCCTTAAATAATATACACTGTTTCCCTGTATAGTTTTCCAGCTTCTTCTCAACAGACCTCTCAGTTATGATTTCAGACACACCTGCTCCTGTTTGTAAAGACCGCACTGTGTCAGTAATACGCGTGGCTGCCCCTCCCTCTACGCAACCTGGCTCCCGGGGGTGGGCGACTTCAGCTCACTGGGAATGTGGGGCACCAGGCAGGAGATTGCGGTTAAGAAAGTAACTCTTTGTTAAGAATCCTTTTGTTAAGAAATTTACTCTTTAATTGGAAAATCTTACATCTTTTTTTCCAAAGTTTAGATAGTAGGGTTTAACATTTGCCATTCATTAAAAAGGTTCAAGCCGGGCTCTCTCAGATTATTTTCCTTGCCTACTCCTAAAACGGTGACAGTGGGTTTCTGTTTTGAGTCACATGACAAAACTGTCATTTTCCTGAAAGGCAAATATAGACTCAGACATGGCTTTTGCCTCTAAAAGCATGCAAACAATTTACTTATTCTTACAATTTGACTTCCCAAACTATTTCTATTCCTTCATGTTAAATGAAATTTGAGCCGCTAAATTTTAATATTAGCACAAATTTGGGCTTAACGAATGTTTGTGGAATGGCTGACTGAATAAATAGACGTTCAGAGCCTGAAGGGAGCTTGGGATTCTAAACAGATATAATAAGCCTGTTAGTGAAATTTCTACCCCCTCCTCGAGAATCTAAGGAGAACATTTTTTCTAACTGGATGTGAATAAAGGAGTTTGGGCTCATTGAAAAGGTCTTTCATATGAGTTCTTTTCAAAACTGCCTTATGCAAAAGTCAAGCCCATTTTACACTCTGTAAATTGACTCAGGTGGCCAAGGTCGCCCAGCACGCCAGGGGCCTGAACGCTACGTGAATTGGACTTTTGTCCTATCCTTCAACAGCAATGCTCAAGGTAAATGTGCATATGAATCTCCAAAGTTGGATAAGGTCACCTTCATCACAGAACAAGTACCAATGAAACCGAAGGATAATGATTTATAAACCTCTTCAAACTTTCTTTTGGGTCTAGAAATCTCATGTCTCTGCATTTCTGCAAAATTCACTCAATTCTCTAATTTCAGCCATCTTGGAAATATCCTTTGAGCTGACTCTCTTGCATTCATAAGCACTTGTCTTTGGCT